CAATGACATGTGAAGCCTTTAGAGGAGAACTTAGGTTAAGCTTTGAAAGTTGAATCTTGACATTTGTATTCCAACTAATATCTAGAAATGTAAGCTTTTCTAAATGAAAAATGATATTTGTGACATTACCTTGCCAAGAAGTTTCTACGAGAGAAAGATAATTCAAAGATGATGACAAATTCATGAGCAAAGACAATGAGTTTGGAGTAATAGAGGACATGTTCACATGAGCTAACCCAAGTATCCTTAAATTGGTTACATTTAGAATTAGCTTTTTCTAAGTAGATGGTTCAAGTCTAAGTGATGAATTCCTCATTGTACAAAACTTAAAGATAAGTCAAGCGAGAGAAATTTAGACAAACGTGAAATTTCATATGGAATTTCACCAACAAAATTATCATGTCCTAGGTTTAAGAAAGTGAGATGTTTTATGTTTGAAAGGAATGAAATCTCACCACTAAACATATTGGAAGAAATGTCTAGATAAGTTAGCTAGGTGAGATTCTTGAATCCCAGAGGAACCAACCCTTTAAATTTACAACCACTTAAGTCCAAATGACTGAGATAGTTCAACTAGCCAATGGAATCAAACAATGCCCTTGAGAAAGTTCTGTATTTAAGACCCAAAAGTGAAAGGAGAGCTCTAATTAGACTCTGGAAGCTAACTATTGAGATCTCTATTCCTTGACAAATCTAGTTGCTCAAGATTTTTTAAACAGAGAAAATCATTTATGATGTTCCCTTGCAGCTCAGTGCCTTGAAGTCTAAGAGTGACCAAAGAGGATGACAAATTCATGAGTAACAACAAGGAGTTTGGTGAAATAGAAGACATATTTACATAATCTAAAGCAAGTTCTCATAGATTAGTCATGTTTAGAATGAACTTCTCCCATATGGATGGTTCAAGTCTCAAAGGACTCAACATCTCAAATGAGCCAAATCCATTGCAAGACAAATCATGAGAGACCAATTTAGACTAATAAGAAATTTTTTAAGTAATTTCACCAGTTAAATCAGAGAAGCTTAAATGGAGACATTTGAGAGTAGAAAGCTCACCAATTTGAGATAAAATCAAGGACCCACTAAAATTTTTTTAAGCCAAGTTGAATATTTACAGATGAGAAAATTGAAAGAGTGTTGTTAGGATGGAGGTGACCTTGAAGCCAACTACAATTGAGATCAAGGCCAATCATATGGCCTAACATGGAGTCACATGTGACCCCATCTCATAAGCAGCAATTTGAATCATTCCCTATGAAGCCATCTTTAGGTAAGATAGGTTCTTAAACTAAACGGTATAGCCATGGAAGTAGTTGCCATCAAGAAACACATGACAAAATTATGAAGCAGAATGAAGAGAGAGTGTGTGTTTGAAATGGAGAAGAGCAGAGGAGTCATGAGAATTACTGTGAACACTGTATTTTGTCTGCCATTTTTTAAAAAATAATAAAAAATAACCCAAAAAAATATAAAAATACAAAAATAAAATTTAATCTTATTTTAGGATTATATTTTTTAAAAAAATAATTTTAACAAAATTAAAAAAAATCCTATTTGAATCTTTTAAAATCTCTCCTAAATTATCCCGACCATTCAAAATATCGAGAATCAACTTTTTTGAGACTCAACAATTTTTAAATTTTCTTTTCTTAAATCTTTTTATTTTCCATTTAAATATATATATATATATATATATACATTAAAATTAGACTTTCCTTTTTCTCTCTTAACCTAATTAATAATAAAAAAAGAAAAAAAGCATTAAAAAAAGAATGGCTAAAAAAGGGGACATACACGTACGAAGCTTAAGCAGAGCAAGCAAACACAGTTGCAGACCAGGGAGAAGCAAACGTGCACAGTGAACACATGAAACACAGGTACACTCTCTCTCGGCCAGACCAGAAGAAAGAGCAGAAAAGAGGCAGAGCAGAAGCTTCACAGAGCAGAACACGAACACACGTACATGAAAGCACAAGAAAAAAATAGAAGGAAAAAAAAGCATGCACGTTACAGCAAAAGCAGAGAGCAGAGGGAAATGAAGTCAGACACGCACACACGCACTTTCAGCCAGGTGCAGAAGAAGAAAGAAAAAAAGAAGAACAGATAGCCACACAGCCACACACGCAAGACTGGAAGATTGGAGACCAGACACGATAAAAAAAAAAAGGAAAGCAAAACACACAGCAGTATGCACACACGAAAACACACAGAGGAAAAACACAAAAATGTAGAGAGAGATTAGACACATGCATGCACATCAAAACAGAGCAGAAGGAGCAGCAAGCAACCAGCATTCGTACGTACACTTTCGGCCTGCAGAAAAAGAAACAGAATGAGAAAACACAGCAGGCACGCAAGTGGAAGGATTAAAAAGAGCAGACACAGAAAATCGAGGGGAAAGGGGAGAACTGAGGAAAAGAAAGAGAGAAGGAAAACTGGAGGTGGGAGAGACAGAGAAAACGTGAAGAAAAAGAGAAGAAAAAAATGGAAGAAGGGGTGGGACCGAGTGAGATATACATGAGAAAACAAAGAAGGAGGGGACGGACAAAAAAAGGGATGACAGAAACAGAGTAGAAAAAAAACTGGAAGGAGAAAAAAAAAGAAAAAAGAGAGCACGAAAGAGTGAGAGGGTTAGAGAAGGAGGGGAGAAACAGAGACAAAGAGAGACTGAAAAAGGAGATAGCCATGGACGAAGAGAAGAGAGAGACCGAGAGGGAGACATAGGGACGAGAAAACGGGGCAGAAAACAGAGCATGAAAACGAACGAAGGAGGAGATCGAAAACTGACCGAGAATGAGAGCAGAAAAAGAGGAGAGGGAGAGACCGAAAACTGAACAGGAAAGGAGCATAGGAAGAGAGGAGAACAAGAGTATAGAGACGGAGTGAGAGAGAGGAAGCAACACGACCGAAGGAAGAAAAAAACAGAGACTAAGAAGGAGAGAGCACGAGATCGAGAGAGGAGAGATGTTGCTGCTATTTCCACCCAAAAATAGAGCCACTTTACTTCCTCTCGCACCAAGCCACATTCCTCTTCTTCCATCCAAAGCCTTTTCCCTTTTCGTTCTCTTTTCTCTCATTCTCACTCTCGCAACCGCTATTGCCATTCCTCTTCTAGTCTCGAAGAGATATTCATATCAATCAAGTTTGTAGGGAACGGGGTAGTATCGTGGGCAAGAACACAGTGTCTGAGGTGACTATGGATAATTGCAACGTGCCCTGGAACCATCCCGGCTCAATGATCCCCAATAAGGACCCCAAGAAGAGGATGATAGAGCATAGGAAATCACATGAGCCCCTTAAGTGGCGAAAACAGATTGGGCACCTGTTCCACGTCATTAGGTAGAAGAAATCCGTGGACCGCCACGTGGAAGGAGTTAAGATGAAGGAGGAGCTGATGAAAACACCATCCCTACTAAAAGATTGCAGGCAAAAGTTAGGGCTTGAATGATATTATCCTTTTTTTTTTCTTTTTAAGATTTCATGGTGGGCATAAATTTATATGAGTACTTGATTAGTTATTTATAAAATATTGTGTGCAATCCTGCGTCTCTTAATGGTTTAAGGGTATAGTCATATTTAAGTTTTGAGATTATTGATACTTAAAAATTAATTATCAAATTTGTCAACTAATTTTGAAAATTTGACAAGTTCTTCATCTCGTAATGTTGGTGTCTGCAAAACATACTTGTGATGGTTTATATTATAAGATATCCAACGTGTCTAATTTAGGTACATTTAGTTTTGTATAGTTGATTCTCAAATTGCCTTTCAATCTTTTTAATTACTATGTTTTAAAAAATGTAACATGTGATGGATAGGTTGATTCTTATATTAATCTTTGTTCATTTTTAAAAATTTATTCATGCATAATACTTCATGGTTTTTTCTATTTCCATATGTTATCATGACTTCCTTATAAGAGGCTAAAGTATAAAAAAAAAAAAAAGAAAGAGAGAGAGAGAGAGAAGGGGGGAGATAGATATACATATATTTATAGTTTATTTGTCGTATCAGATTTTAAGAATCTCAATAGACATTTAAAATGATCCTATATCATGAAAATCAATAAGATTTCGCAGGTATGATGATTAATTTTGTATATAATAATATGGGTTTCAAAAGCACATCATTAAAATTAACTTTTTTTATATATATAATAAAATATTTAAGTAATGAGAGATTTTAAGAATCTCCATAGAGACTTACATTAATTACCTCATTGTGTAGGATAATAAGTCCTCACAGATATAGTGATTCTCAATTTTTGTAATAAATAAATGATTTTGCAAATAAAATTATAAATTTTTTTTAATAATAAAATTAATTAAATTAATGTATTAAATCTTTTAGTTATATGAGATTTTTGAATGTCTATAGACCTCTAGGATAATTATCTTACCGTAAAAGTCAATAAAACTTTGCAAGTATAGTGATTAAGATTTTTGCGTTTAAAAATGTAAATTGTATAATTACACATTAAAAATATATTTAAAATATTTACATTATTTCACCCTTTTATCGTGAGAGATTTTGAAATCTTCGAAAATATTTAGAATAACTGTATTGTCGTATGAGCTAATAAGGCTCTGCAGGTATAGTAGTTAAATTTTTCAAGAAAATAATAAAACATGAAAAATAATTTTAAAACTCTTTTCTTTATTTCAACAAAAAAAATTCAAAAATTGAGAAAATGATTGAAATTAAATCACTTTTTTTGCAATTTAAAATACACATACCAAAATTTTAAAAATTGTTTTATTTGCAAAATGGTAAATTATTTCTAATTAATTTCTGTTCAAAAATATTTTCACCAACAACTTATAAAGCCAAACTAGGTGGACTTTGATCCCCACCGCAGGGTATGTAGGCCTCAGAGTCAGATTCTAAGTCAAGTCCTCCCTTGTAAATAAATAAATATTTTTCACTTAATTATTATCATTTTTATATCAAATACATGTATAAGAAAGGGATAATTAAAATAACTTTAAAACCATATTAATTTAGCACAACAAACTTCAGGTAATCGTTCTTACGAACGGGTGTTGTGGGGTGCCTAACACCTTCCCCACACTCAATCGACTCCCAAACCTATTTTCTGTTTTTGCAGACCACCCTTATCCACCTTTAAATGGTTTCTCGAGATTTCCCTCAAAATCTTGGTGGCGACTCCCATTTCTCCAGTCTTCCTTCCGAAGGCCGGAACCTCCACTCTCGCACCGTCAGAGTTGCATTTTCGGGTGCGATAATTACAAAAAAGGGGTTGAGAGAAGAAGAAAGGGAAGCAGAAAGAAAGAACAAGTAGAAACAGAGCATCATTACAAATGCCATAACTCAAGTAAGTAATAAGGGAATGATTAAGTGTATTGGCATCCACAAGATGAAGCTTCATTTATAGGAGTCTCGTAATGGCATGAGGGACCTACATCAAGTGTCACGCCCCAAAAATAGAGAGTGACTGACATGAAAAGTGAACTACATCACACATTCTTGTAAGCCTTAAAATGAAGTTTATTATGTTTCAAAAAGGTAATCAGATTATATTAAAATGGTAACACTTTTGATATTAATTATCATAACAAAGCTTCAACAATTTTGTAGGAATTTTGGCAAAACCTCCTCTATAATTAGGATCTCCTAAAAATTCTACAATACAAAAATTTTCACAAAATATCGTATCAACTAGAAGCTTAGCTCCTTCCAGCTAGCAAATAGCATATATATCAAATTAAAACTCTAATTATAGTCTATGTGGAGCAACTAATTTTACTTCCAAATTAAAATACATAAGTCCAAATATTTACATCAAATAGAGATAATGCTAAGCAAAATTTCACCTAGAACAATTGTATGTCCTTCAAAGGTCAATAATAGGATCAACATCAATTAATGAATCTGAGACCAAAATAAATTTTCAGTAAATAACATCCCAACAATAAATAATTAAATATGTAAAAAAAAGAAAAGTTTAAAATAATTATGTGTGCTAGAGATGACAATTTTCGCAAACAAATATTTAATAACCTTTAGCATAAAAGGGTACTATGTAACATTAAATAAAAGCTTGATTCATTCAAGTATCATATCAAACATCATTATCATTTATTTTCAATAAAGCAAATAACTACATTAAATAACTATAAATATGTCACTAATCAAAACTAATGAAAAACAAATTTATCAAATAATTAAAAACTCATAATTATAAGGACTTATCAGAACAAGTAAAAAACATAGACACACAGTCTATGAGGATAAATAATTAAACGCAACTTATGCCATGAAAACAAATGTGAACATACAGTCTACGGGAGTAAGTAACCAAATGCAGCTTGAACTATAAAACAAATGTGGACACACAGTTCATGAGGGTAATACTAACCAAACGCAACTCGAAGTTTCAAAAACAAACGCAGGTAGAAGACTCATGAATAACAAATGTGAGGATAGAACTCATGTAAATCAAACTAACTAATTATTAACCAAGATGTCAAGGGTTAATGGAACTGTCACTAACAATCAATGTTTTATAAAAAGTCCCTTTCAAACCCAATTTTAAATATGCAAGAAAATAATCACTTTTAAATAAAATTTTTATTTTCAATGTCAAACTCGCATAAATCATCTTATGTATCAATCTAATATTTGATAAAATAAAATATCATAATCAAAGTCCAAACTAATATTTATTGATTAACTATCATTTCAAAACTAACAGAGCTAATTTCACAAAATAAAATAGTCTAATCAACAAATTATCCAATAATCACATTGTTGTTATAAACAAAAATGATTTGCATAAAAATGTAATATTTTAGTGAAGGAAATTTTATTAGAAAATTAATTGGGACGCTATCCACTTATTTGATATTTTCAAAATTCAAATTTCTCCTCTCAACTTTAATCAAATTTCTCTTCTTCCAAACTCCCTATAAATTATATTAAAATTTTATTCAATTCTCAACCATCACAATTATTCCTTTCCAACCTCACTTACCACCAATATCAAACTATAATATATTTGAAATTTTAGGGGAAAAAAATCCTCATTGACATTTAGCCAAGGCACCAAACATACATCATTTCCAATCTACTCATAAAAATTCTAGCATTCAATATTTTATCAACAATTATCCATCTCCAACAATTCAAAAATCACATTATTAATTTCATTGACAAATATTCTTTGCAACATCAGAATTAAATTTCATACTTCCCACAAGAATTAATGAAACTCCATAAATATTCTAAAATCAAATTTAATTCTTCTTATAAGCATTTTAACAAATATCTTATAAACACTAATCTCCGAGTATCCCATCTAAACTCTTCTTTTTCAATTTCATTGTAACAATTGCTTTAATATCAACCAGTCTAGAACAATTAATGTAACTCAATCATAAATATAAAGGGAAGGATAAAAGATCAAAGCTCAAATTTGAATTTCTTTCTCCTCCCTACTCAGCACGGCAACAGAAAAACCAAAGAAAAATTTGCAATTTCAACATCATTTCAGCCACTCACACGCACAGATTATACAAAGGGAAGGATAAGAGATCAAAGCTTCTAACCTTCAATGACCACATCACACAAACAGAGAAAGGAGGAGGCAACTTCGAACAGTGAAGAAGGAGGGACTGTCACCGTGAATGAAGAAAGGATGAACATACCGGTATGACAGAACAGAAGGAGAAAGAAAGAAATCTTAGCTCACCCAAGCATTTACACGCAAACTAAATAAACGAAGGAAAGAAGAGAGGTTAGACGTACTTGAAACAATGACAGAAGCGGAGGAACGGCGGTGAAACAGAGGAAGAACTCACAGCTGGGGTGGATGAAACGGCGGCAAGCACACCTGCGACGATGACTCACACGAACGACGGCAACTAGCGATTGAGAAAGAGGAAGACAGAAACCATGAGAGACAAGGCAAGGGTTTGTGCTCTACTCTCCAACTTTTTCTCTGCTCACAGACGCACGAAAAAGAAAAGGGAAAGGGCAAAAACATCAGATTGAGATAGGGGTTTTTTGGTAATTTCATAAAGCAAAAAAAAAAAAACAAAATGAACTCCTTGAGCCGTAGTTTGATTTCAACTTGGATCTAAGAAGTGCATTATTTATATAATTTCCACCACGCCAATGCTCCTCTTGTTATCGTTGCTTCAAATACAAATAAAATACATTCTAAAAAATTTATTATTTATTTATTTTTATTTTATTTATCATGGTCATTGCATCAAGACTTTTCCTTGCGATAGAAACCCCTAAACCATAATTATTTTGTCTTATTTTCCATCTTTTGAATTGCAGAAACCTCAACCAAGCAAAATGTTGGAAAACTTTTTTCTAATTATTTTTTAATTAACGTTGTTTCGAAAGATGAATGTTAAAAATGGTTGTCTATTGCAAGTGGCAAATCGATTGACTTGTACAAAAACGGTCATGTACTGTTCTTTTCCTTATCAGGTCTACTAGATCTGTTTATAAATGCGGTCTTTTTATTACGTTATATGTGGATGAGGTTGAGGAGCCAGCTGAATTTTGCATTCACATCATTGCTTGTTTAAAATAAATGAATTCCAAGTTTGATTAATCAGTGTTAGTTTGGTTAAGAAATTAAAGTAGCTGCTTGCTATTTACAGAATTTGTAAATTCATCTCATATTTATTATCTCTTATTATCTCTCAATTTGCTACGAATTAAAATAGATCACTTCATGATGTGTGGAAAGCATGATTCTGACAGCGAACGTGTGCTTAATTTGCATCGATAATTTTTTTTTTTTAAGATGAAAACGTAAAAGGCATGACTTTGTTGATGTATTTAATTTCACTATAAACGTACTCTCTGATATTCACATTATTATTGTAGAAATTTCTACAAAAAAACATTACTGAAACTTTTCTTATAGGTGGACATTATTAAAGGTGTTAAAAATTTGAATATATATCTAATTATGTTTTAAAAATAAATATTAAATATTAAGTTAAAGTTTCATTAACCACAGTTTAAGGAATGTATGTTTGTGCATATATCACATACCAATCATGTCTATTTTCGGGGTATGATAGAAAGGTTAAAAAACAAGAGAAAAAGCTTAATCAAGTGATTAGAACCCTCAAATTCACTTCTAAACCACTGGAAAATGACGTCCAAGCTGAAAAAAAAAAAAAATTCTAGCTCCTTCTATTTTTCCTTCTTTCCTTTTCCTTTTTGTGGTGATTTCCTATTCGACATCTGTCATAATGAAGTGTTTCTATTTGTCACGTCCCAAAAATAGAAGATAATTGGTACAGGATGTGAACCATATAACACATTTCCGCAAACCTCTAACCTTAAACTCATTTCATTTTTAAAATGTAATCAAATTTATATTGAAATTTTAACATTTTTGATATTGGTCATTAAAATAAAGTTTAAAAAAAATTTCTGTAAAAATATCGACAAAACCCTGCTTGTAAATAGGATCATTCAAAACTCTACAATACAAAAAATATTCATAGGATATCATGTCAATCAAGAGCTTAGCTCTTCCAATGAACAGACAGCATATATACCAAAATAGAAGCCCTGGATGTAGCATATGTGAAGCACCTAATTAGACCTCTCCAAAATAAAATACATAAGCATTGATAGTTACATAAAAAGAAGAATTTCAATCAGTTCTTTACCCAACACATCTATGAGTTCTCATGGATCAACAGGGGGATTGGCATCAACTAGGGTATCTGAGACCAAAATAATTTTTCAGTAAATAACGTCCCAACAATAAATAATTGAATATAAGAAAAGATTTAAACAATTATGTAAGTTAAAGAGGCAACGATCTTTATAAAAATTTAATAAATTTCAAAATAAAATGATTCTATAAAATTTTAAATAAAATCTCGAACCATTAAAATCTCATAATAAGTAATATTATCACTTGATTGCAAGGAAGCAAATAAACAAAATCAATAATTATAAATAATTTACTATTTAAAACTAATGGGATGTAAAATTACCAAATAATCAATTTTATATAATAGGGACTTATCAGAACAATTAACAAACATGGACACGCAGTTTATGAGGGTAAATAACCAAATGCAGCTCTCGCCACGAAAACAAACGTGGACACACAGTCCACGAGAGTAAGTAACCAAATGCAGTCGAAGTCACAAAATAAACATGGACACACAGTCCACGAGGGTATGTAACCAAATGTAGCTGAGGCCACGAAACAAACGTGAATACGATGCTCACGAATAACTATCCCTCCGTTCCACGTGCATTGGCCATCGCACGGGGCTAGCACCTCCTATACACACCCTGCTAGCTAGGTGTATCATGGTGCGTCAAAGGCTAACAGAATTGCCATTAGCAATCAGTGTTTTGTATAAAGTATAAATCATGATAACTTCAAGAGCTAAAGAAATTTAATCAACAACATTAATCAATGCTAAAGTGACATATATTAATGACTGTAAATTATTGAAAATAATAGTTGATAAAAGGAAATTTCAAATATAAAAATTGGTTGGGACATTATTCACTTACTTATAGTACCCTCAAGTCTCCAAACTCATTTCTTATGACTCTATTTGAGCTTCCCTTCTCCCGAACATCCTATAATATATAATAATATTTTAATGGACTTTATTTTTTTAAAAACCAACAAGATCCCATTTTGGGAGAACCTACTCAACTAAAGTTAACAATAATAATTTTGAAGTTTTAAGAGCACAATTCATTCATAGAGATTTCTTCTTATGCTTTTTACCAAACATTTAATGTGTGACATTCCAAACCATTCAATAAAACATTAAACCTTTAATTCTATTGCCCAACCATTTCCAAGCATCTAAGTATAACTTCTAAAATGATAATGTACTTTATAACCTTTCAATTTTGTAACTCTTAACAATTCAAAACTCAAATAAGACTCCCTAACTTCTTAAATAAATTCCTTTGAAATGCTCAGATTAAAACTCTACTAAATAACATTTGAATCAATCATCCTTTTTGCCTTAATCATTAGAACTTTAGAAAATACACAATCAAGTAAAAAACTCTCCAAACAAGCATTTAATCAAACAATCTATGGGCATCAATCCTTAAACTAATATTAACCTCTTCTTCCTCAATATCACTTCCTTAAGATTTTACAATAGCAATGTTATAATCAATAATCCAATCAACTTCAATTAAAACTCAAACCCGCTCCATCATCTTTTTGTTTTACAACCACAAATTTCAACTTAAATCAAGCTTTTTCTTCATACATACATATCCAAACAGTCACGTTCATCAACAATAGAGGAGAAAAAAAAATTACAACTTAAATCATCAACTCATACACCCACTCACACGAAACAATCACTCACATGAAACAATAAATAAGAAGGAGACTTGGAGTTCTTATACCACACATTACCAAATGAAGATAGAGAAGGGAAGTAGAAATCGCACCTTAAGTTGAACAGGGGAGGGAAATTCTGAACACGATGCACTAAAGAGGGAGAAGAATAGAGTCACAGCAACCAACCATAAAGCAAAGAGACTTACAAGCAAAACCTCCATCTCTAACTACTCAGCTCCTCGCACCCAACAGCACCAGAACAAAAATAAAAATAGGAAAAAGATGAGGAAGACAGCAGCAGTTATGAACTCTTCAACGATCACCAGCGACACAGTGTAGGATGACAAAAAAGAAGAAGAATGAGATGAAGATAATGACGGAGAACGGAGGAGTTGGATGAAGATTCAAAACATTTAGCTCAAAATCCTCCAACTTCCTCTAACGAGAACGGTATGCACCATCAAAAAAGAGAAGAAAAGAAGAGGAAAATTGGGAAGACTTGACCGGAGGCAAAATGACGAGAACTCACCGAAAAAATCAAAGAGGAACAAAGGGAGCTAATATTGGCAAACAGCTTGAGTCGAAGGATCTAGACATTATTTTGGGAGAATGACAACTAAGGTCCTTCTAAGAACATTAATCCCAATTATGAACTATGAAATTTTGAAATCCCAATTAAGGACCGATAAAAAATGTAGTTTGTGAGGTGGGATTCATTAACGCGACTTGGGAATTCACTAACCCAACTTAAGAAAATTACTTACGTATATTGTGAAAATATGAAACCCCACTTGGGAATGGAATGTTTAAAAAAAAGCGCCACTTGAAAATTCACTAACTCGACTTGAAAAATTTTCTAACATATATTGTGAAAACATAAAACTCCACTTGAAAATTGATTATTTAATAAAAAACACCAATTTAGACAAGTCACTTTTTATTAAACAATTGATTCTCAAGTAGGGTTTCATTTTTTCACAATATACGTTAGAAATTTTTCAAGTCTAGTTAGTGAATTTTCAAGTAGTACTTTTTGTTAAACATTTCATTCCCAAGTGGGGTTTCATATTTTCACAATATACGTTAGTAATTTTCTCAAGTTGGATTAGTAAATTTTCAAGTCGCGTTAATGAATCTCACCTCACACAATACATTTTTTTTTATCACAATTAAGGACCATGGTCTTTAAATGAGAATTCAAAATTTTATGGTCCGTAATTGGGATTAATATTTTTAGAAGGTCCTTAATTGTCATTCTCCCTTTTTTTCATCCTTCTGCGCGTCTAATCGAGAGGGGAGAGAAATAAAAATCTGAGTATTAGAAAATTGCTAAAATTACAAGAGAAGGCACAACATTTCCTCTAATAACATAAGAGAAATGGGCACTTCTTGTAATTTTTCCTAAAATTTTAAACTAATAAAATTTAACCTATTATTCATAAGAATTCAAACTCTGGATCTTTAAATAAACTATTAGCATAAGTTTTACTAAATCACCACTTTTTATTTGTGATAAAATATAAATTGAGAGAATATATATATATATATTTGAAATTTTAAGGTCATTACACTATTCAACACCAGGTATGCCATCTTTATTTAAACATTGATAACCCAAAAAAATTATACCAATTGAAAATTTAGGGTATTAATTGTGTCTTCAAAAAAATTCCAAGACAAAATTGCTCTTTAATCTTAGTATAAATTGTTCAATTAAAGGTCAACATATTGCACCATTTTTAGAAACTTTTAGGGAAAATACTGTATTAATCAAAAGTTAAGAATACAAATTGTACCTAAAAAACCCTGAGGCAAATTTGTTATTTAATCTTACTTTTATGGTATTAGTGTTGGAGGACTAAAAGATATTTTATAAAATTAAGGGATCAAATTAAAATTTTATATAAAGTTAAAAATTAAAAGTACACTTTAACCTAATAAGAGTGTATGTACAAAGAAAAGTGAGTCTCTTATAAGAGTATTTATTCATACAACTTAGCCAAAAAAAATGATAGCCCAAAATATCTTGTAGTGATGGAGAAAATAATAGAAAAATTTGTCAAAGATAATCCATAAATAACTAATTAAATATTCAAACCCATAAAGTTAAGGTACACACAGATGACCCTAAAAAACACGGCCTAATTCATTCTTGAGTAATTTAAAAATGGTGTAATGTCATCTCTTCTTTAATAAACCGTTAGTTTTTCATTAGTAAGTGGAGAAAATTACATGCAGTGCTCCAAAAATTACAAATAAATCCCCAATAAAAAATTAATTTTACTTAAGTCCTTAAAATTACAAAATTAATATATACCAAAAGGTTTGATTGTTGATAGAATATAATGGTGCCATGCAATCCATATAATAAACCCCGCTTAATAAGATAAGATTTATTATTGTTGTCTCTCGTACCACATAGGGAAAATATCTTGGTGAGTGGTTCATATTTTATTAATTTATTATTATTTTTATTGTTATTATTATTATTACATTTATTACTTTTTTAAATTGTCGACCATTCATATATGATCTATGCATGGAATCCACACATCGCATGTGTATTTCCAATTGATATCCAAGTCTGGGTCCCATCTCTCTTGACCATATTTGATTACCATTTTCCCTCTGTCTATTTAATATCTTAAACTGATAATTATTTGCAGCTTCAATGCACAATTTTTCCAATGATGAAGTATCCACTCCAACCCATCGTTGCTTTTCTCATAGTAAGATCGCTTTCTTTCTTCTTCTTCTTCATCTTCTTCTTCTTTTCACTTTTTTCTTTTCTAATGAATCTAAAGCTAATGAATATTTATATTTTTACATATTATATTGAATAAATGAAATATTGAAATTGCAGGTTGCATTAGTAACGCATGCTGCTTTATCTCCTGAGCTTTACTGGAAGTCCATGCTTCCCAGTACTCCCATGCCTAAATTTATCGTAGATCTCCTTCACCCAGCTGGTTAGATTGTATTCTTCATTAGTAGTTTTCTTAGAATTTCAATCTTCACTTCACAAATGATACTGCCTCCGTTTCAAAATTGTATGTCTTTTGAGATATTTGCACACAAATTTATTAGAAACTAAATGCAGTTAATACATAAAAAATTGGCAAAATGAACACTATTATCAAATTTACCCCAGAAGCGTGACAAATTCTCCCTCCGTTTTCATGTATAGTCAATGCTGCGTCAAGTGATAGCACCACCGTCCACAGTGGCCGAGTTGAATTAGAAACAAGACTTTGCAATTTTCGGGTTTGTTATGCTGACTCTGGATATGATACCAAACTCCACAGTAACCCCAACACCACTCTCTTCTTCTGGGAAAGGGATTTGAAGGCAGGTCGGAGAATGAACTTTCTCTTCACGCTTGCCTCCAACCAAGCATCCTTCCTGCCTCGTGAAGTCGTGAAATCCATTCCATTTTCCTCAAGCAAGGTAGGTAGCGTCAGACTCATTCTACCATGTTTGTGAACACTGATATTCTGAAGAGTTAAAGATTATTTTCTCTCATAAACTTTTTTTTTACGTGTTAGGTATCTTGTACTGACACTAGTACAAAATATAAAATTTATGGGGTACTTTTACATCGGTTGGAAGGCAAACGGTGTAAAAAATAAAGACAGTGGTATTTTTGTAATTATCTTGAATTATGTAACACTTTTTACACCGGGTGTCCAGGCACCCGGTGTAAAAAGTGTTTACACCAGGTGCCTGGACACCCGGTGTAAAAAATGTTTTTTAAATTCATTTCTCCCTTCATTCATCAGTTCCCTCGACTCCTCCTTCTCGCGCCCTCCCTCTCGTCTCCCCTTCGTCCGCCTACTCCCCCTCCCCCTCGTCTTTTCCCTCGCCGGCTGCCCTCCCCCCCATCCGCCCAGCCTTCCCACCCGTCTGCTGAGCCTCCTCCCCCTCCTCCCCTCGCCGCCCACTCCCCCTCCCCCTCGGTCCGCCCAACCCCCTCCCCCTTATCTTGTCGCTCCCCCTCCCCCTCGTCGCCGCCCCCCCCCTCCCCCCCTCGGTTCGTCCCCCGCCCCCTTCCCCTCCCCCTAAGTCCGCCCAACCCCCCTCCCTCTCCCCCTCGTCCCGCCGCTCCCTCCCCCTCCCACTACCCCTTCCTCGGCTGCCTATCCCCTCCCCCTCGTCCCGCCGCCTGTCCCCCTCCCACTCCCCTTCCTCGGCCTTCCCCCTCCCACTCGTCCCACCGCCCACTCCCCCTCCCCCTCTCCCCTTGCCCACCCCTTCACTCTCCCGCCCCCCGCCCCTCTCCCTCCCTCTTGCCCCCCTCCACCACTCCTTCTCCCTCCTTCTTAGTGTTAAGCCGTTACTGCAGCTGCCACCACCCAAGTATGTGTTGAATATAAATTTTTAAATTTTATGATGTTTAAATTTAGTTTTTAATGATATTGATTGTTACTGGGAGTGCTGTTAGTAGCTTCATAAAGCCTCAGGTTGTTGCATGTGATTCATTTATTTGGTTTAAAATTGTTAATTTTTTCGTGTAAAATTTTCTAAAACTTTTGGGAAGTCCAATTTTTAGGGGAGACTCTGTCGAAATTTTTTTTAAATTTATTCTTTCCTTTAATTTTTTTAAATTTAGTTTTTAATGATATTGATTGTTGCTGGGAGTGCTGTTAGTGGCTTCATAAGGCCTCAGGTTGTTGTATGTGATCAATTATTTGGTTTAAAATTGTCAACTTTCTCTTGTAAATTTTTTTTAAAAGTCTTGGGAGATCCAATTTTTAGGGGAGATTCTGCCAAAATTTTTTCAAATCTTAATTTAATTAGGAACTTAGTTTTTTAAAATGGTTTGAAGATAATAACATTAGTTATATTCTTTAGGAGGTGACATATGGATCGTAGTTGGATGAATGCTAGACGAACGAGTGACGAGTATGATAATGGGGTGAAAGAATTTTTGGAATTTGCTAAGAAAAATGCTGTTGACAATAGTGAAAGGTTCTATTGTCCTTGTGTTAATTATTTGAATGAGAGGAGACTAGGTGTTCCTGAAATAAGAGAGCACTTAGTTTGTGATGGGATTTGCAAAAATTATACAATATGGATTTGGCATGGTGAACGATTAGAAAATTATAGTAACACATCTCAATGTGTGGGAGTTGATAATCTTGATGATGAAGTAGAAATGAATGAAGATCGATTAGAGGATATGATCCGTGATGTTGGGGAAGAGGCTTTTGAACGAACACATGTGTATGATAACTTGTGCACTGACGCAGAGAAGCCTCTATACCCGGGGTGCACTGATTTTAGTTTGTTATCTGGGGTGTTAAAACTAGTTACCTTAAAAGCAAGAGCTGGGTGGAGTGATCAAAGTTTCACATGGTTGTTAGAGTTACTTCAAATAATGTTTCCGAAGGGCAATGTACTACCAAATCGTTATTATGATGCCAAGAAGATCTTGTGTCCTATGGGTATGAAGTATAAAAAAATACACGCATGTCCTAATGATTGTGTGTTGTATAGAAAAGAGCTTGAAGGGGAGGAGAAGTGTCCGAAATGTGAGGCACCACGGTACAAAGAGAAGGGGGCTCCTACAAAAGTCTTATGGTATCTTCCAATTATACCAAGGTTCAAGCGTTTGTTTGCAAATACTAATGATGCAAAGAACTTGATGTGGCATGCAAATGAGAGGATATCTGATGGAAAACTTCGACATCCAGCCGATTCTCCTCAATGGAAGAAAATTGATCAATTGTTTCCCGAATTTGGCAATGAGCCAAGGAACTTGAGGCTTGGACTTTCTACCGATGGAATGAATCCTTATGGTAGTCTTAGTAGTATACATAGTTCATGGCCTGTTCTTTTGGTGATTTACAATCTATCACCTAAGTTGTGCATGAAACGGAAGTATATGATGCTATCCATATTGATTTCAGGACCAAAACAATTGGGAAATGATATTGATATTTACCTAAGACCTCTGATTGAAGATTTGAAAGTGTTGTGGGAGGTAGGTATGGAAATGTTTGATGCAAATCAGAAGGAGAATTTTAAATTATGTGCTATGATCTTTTGTACTATAAATGATTTTCCTGCATATAGAAATTTGTTTGGTTATAGCGTGAAAGGTCATAAAGCTTGTCCAATTTGTGAAGAAAGCACAAACTACCATCAACTTCAACATGGAAGGAAGACAGTCTACCTTGGCCATCAGAGGTTTCTTAGACGAGATCACCCATATCGTAGATTGAAGAAAGCTTTTCATGGTCACCAAGAACACAATGATGCTCCGGATGCTTTGACTGGGGATCAAGTATATGAATGTGTGAAAAATATTAATATTGTCTTCGGTAAGACTAAAAAGAATACTAGTACAAAAAGCATATAGAAAAAAAGGTCTATCTTTTTTGACCTCTCATATTGGCGCAATCTTGAAGTAAGGCATTGTATTGATGTTATGCATGTGGAGAAAAACGTTTGTAATAGTATTATTGGAACGCTTCTAAACATACCAGGTAAGACTAAGGATGGTGTGAATGCAAGATTGGATTTGAAAGAAATGGGAATACGGGAAGACTTACACCCAAGACCAGAAGGTAAACGAACTTATCGTCCCCCAGCCTCTCATACATTGTGCAAATCTGAGAAAACAAGTTTTTGTGAGTGTTTACATGGAATTAAAGTTCCTTCGGGGTATTCTTCAAATATTATGAAGCTTGTATCTATGAAAGAGTTGAAACTGGTAGGCTTAAAATCTCATGATTGCCATGTCTTGATGCAACAACTATTACCTTTGGCTATTCGAGGCATATTGAAAGAAGATTTAAGACTTATAATAACCAGACTTTGTTTCTTTTTCAATGCTATATGCAGTAAAGTTATTGATCCCCGTAAACTGGAAGAGTTAGAACAAGAAGCTTGTACTATCTTGTGCCAACTTGAGATGCACTTTCTTCCTACATTTTTTGACATTATGGTTCACTTAATAGTGCATCTAGTAAGGGAGGTAAAATTGTGTGGCCCTGTTTATTTGCGATGGATGTACCCAGTTGAGAGATACATGAAAATACTGAAAGGGTATGTCAGAAATCCATTTCGACCCGAAGCATCAATAGTTGAGAAATATGTTACTGAAGAAGCTATGGAGTTTTGTTCTGATTACTTGTCAAGTACAGAATCAATTAGACTTCCTAAATCTTGTCATGAGAAAAGGCAATATGGTCAAGACACACGTGGAGTATCAGTGAAGAGCATGAATCATGATGAATTACAAGAAGCACATTTGTATATCTTGAATAATATTGATGAAGTTAAAGATTACATATCTTCTTATAAAGAACTTTTAAAGGAAAAAAATTATCGCAATGAGAATGACAGAACAAAAGTTGTTGAAAGAGCATAATAGGACTTTTGTGAATTGGTTCAAGCAGAAAATTTTGAATGAAAGTGGTGTTTCTAAACAGTTAAATGGTTGGTTGGAGGTCCTAACTTTGATGTTATATGTTGGAGTGCCTATGATATTAATGGGTATTCCTTTTATACAAAGTCTTTGGATGAGAAGAGTATGGTGCAAAATAGTAGAGTTATGATAATGGCTGAAGCCGTACACTTTTCTAGTTCAAAAGATATGAAACCTAAACTAGCATCCAGGACTTACTTTGGGGTTATTGAAGAGATTTGGGAGGTTGATTATACAAAATTTAGAGTTCCTGTTTTCAAATGCAAGTGGGTTGACGTCAATAGTATTCGTGATCATAAGTTTGGATTTACAATGGTTGATCTTAAAAAACTAACTTTTGGAGATGAGCCATTTATTATGGCAGACCAAGCTAAACAAGTTTTCTATGTCACGGATCCAACAAATAAAAATTGGTCAATAGCACTTAAAGGAAAAAGGATGATTGATAGTAATGACGATCATGAATCAAATTTTAATATTTCTGAAACTCCTAACTTCTCAAGTGGGCTACCAATTTTGGATGTGGTAGATGAAGTAGATGATGAACATCCATAAGAAGTGATCACCATGAAGGGATATGGGAGAATATCTCTATATGAGTTTAGTTTTGAAATTAAAGTATGTTAATTTAGTTTAATTAAATTTATGTTGTGGGATTGTTTTTCTTAATTATCTTATCTTTGATTATTTTTTAAATTAATTTCATTTATTTGAATTAATAGGAATATGGAGAATCAAGGTGATGACACTCAGAGCCAATCAATTGGTGATGTTGCTCCTAGTGGGGAGCTAAGTCAGGGCACCCCTAGTGAGGAGCTGAGTCAGAGCCAGTCTGTGAGGAGGGGGAGACGTGGCACACGATTAAGAGATCTGACATTAAGTAGGAGTGCTGGGCATAGGTTACCAATTCAATTTGACCAGAGATGGAATCCGATAGGGCCACATAAAGCTAAGTTTGTTAGTTTTCTTGGCCTCCTCTCGCGTACCAAGCCTCCTATTGTGTTTGAGGACTAGC